TTAACTGATTTTGTCCTGAAGAATTACTGCAAGCATAACATGCAAATTCTCTAAACACTTTAGCCAGATTCACCAACTGTTACCATGTGGCTGTATTTATTTGATCATGTTCCACCTGTACACACACACTTACACAGATGTGTACATATGTATAGTGTAGTTTACCTTTTTGGAACCACCTGGATAAATTACATACATTATGCCCTTTCTCCCTTAAGGCATCAGTGTACTTTACATAAAAATATCGTCTTAGATAAACACAGTATATTCAAGAAAGTTAACAGTGGAGGCCACTTGTATTTACAGCCTTTGTTTCAGATTTGCCAGTTGTGCCAGAAGGATACTTTGTTGCACTTACTTTTCATTTCTCTTTGCTTTCACTTTAATCAGAAATAATACTTTTGCCTTTGCTTCTGTTTCGTGGCCTGAACATTTTTGTTAAGAATACACATTATCCAAGCGCATGCCTGCAATCCCAGCACTCTGGGAGGCTGAGGCAGAAAGATTAGAAGTTTCAGTCCAGCCTGAACAATTTAGTGAGAGCGTATTTCAAAACTTTTTTAAAATATTAAACAGCTGGAGATGTAACTCAGTGCAAAGACCCTGAATTCGATTCCCAATACTGCCAAAAAAGAAAAATAAATATATAGCAGATGTTTATTAGAATGTTTTTGTGCTTGGGTTTGTCTGATATCTTCTCATGATTCCATTCTGGAAATACAATTTTGCCTGGAATGGAATGGAGTGGAGTGGGGTGGGGTGGGGTGGGGTGGGGTGGGGTGGGAATGAAATGAGCTCCTGGGGCGCTCAGGTACGTGGTGTTGACGTAAGTGCCTCTCTTTCATGGTATTAAATTTGGTCACCCAGTCAAAGAGCTGCCCACTTTTTTTAGTATATAGTTTACTTTTTCCCCTGGAAGTTAGTAAATATTCTGGGAGATTATTATATAACTTGCTCCTGATCAAGCTTTTGTAAATGTAGCATCTATTCATGATCTCTGTAAATCAGTCCTTACTAAGATATTTGCAAACTTTTATTGTCTAATCCCACCACATTTGTTGGTTGTTCCCCATTCACTTTTTTTCATTTATTCGTCTTTCTTGCTGTCAGATGTAGGCGTGCCTATTTTACGTAGTAGGTTATAATTCACTGTGGTGTATTTATTGTGATGCTCAAATCTCCCCAGATTTTGCCCGTGGGAGCCAATGCAGGCTGGCTTCTGTGTTCTTTTTCTGCATCTCCTCACCTCACAAACGCTTTACTTTCTGGCACAACAGAATGTTCCAAACTCCTCTTGTTCCTCTCGTGCCTTGCTGCTGGAATCATTCATTTCTTCAAGATGCCTCAGTTTCATTCAGTGAGCAACGGTTTGGGTGCTGGAATGGTTTGGGGCAATGGGAGTCTTAGCTTCGAAAGAAAAAAGCTAAGATATGTGTGTGCTGGACTGCGCGTGTGTGTAGTTTCTGAGAATTGCAAGCTAATACTGACAGTCCAGCTCCAAACCAGACCCAAGGGTTCTTTCCTGCCTTTCCTGTTCCATAGTTGCCTCTCCCTCCACAGCAAAGTGTGTAACTTTCAGAATATCAACACATTTCCTCCTTCAGTCCTGTACGGTGCATAAAGTTGACTCTTAGCCCTAAAAGCAGATTTGCTAAAGGAGCACAGTGTTCGCTGGCCTTCCCCCCTCGCCGGCAGTACGTGGTTAAAGGCAGTCTTCTAGACTGGCAGCTGGCAGTCAAGGACCAGCATGCCACATGTACTGAATGGTCTCTCTGCCTGTTCTCAAAGTGGTTTTTTTAAATTTGAAATGCAGTTGGATTCACATTTCCATCTGCAGTTTCTAAATTCTTCTTCATTTCTGAATATGTAGCACATTAACATTCATCCTAGCAGTCACAGCTGTGTAACAAGGTGAACTCAGAGAGGCCTCGCTTTGTCCCTTGTCCTTTCTACCTACTTAAGAGATTACTTCCTGTAAGTAACCAGTTGCACTGTCTTCTGGTTTCCTTTTCCTGTGTTTTGTTTTACCAAAATAAAATACGTATACTAATTTTCCCTTTTATTCAAACAAAAACACACTACTACAGAAGCATTTTTTTTCATTTTGCTTTTTTTCATTTAATATGTCCTGTAAGTCATTTCATATCACTTTATTGGACTTATTATCTTTTTTTTTTTTTCTCCCTGGTACCATTACATGGGTGTGCCATAGTTTATTCAGACAGTCTCCCGTGTTTGCCCACTTAGATCAATTCTAGTATTTTTGCAAATACAAATAATATAATGCCTCAATCCATAATCCTGTTTTTATGTATTTTTCTATTGCTGACAGGTTGTCTTGGAGGTTAATTCTTAGGAATAGGATTCCTGGATGGAGGGATGAATGTCTATGTAGTTGGCAGGTTTGTTACTGCCATGTTCTCACCACGGGGTTTGTATCATGTCACTTTCTCATGAGCTCGGGACAGTTCCTCTTACCCCACAATGTTATCTGCTAAGTGCAGGGTCAAGCTTTGGAACTTTAATCAGAGTGGTAGATGAAAAACAATATCACGGAGTAATTTTAATTTGGTTTTTTTTTTGGGTTTTTTTGTTTTTTTGAGACAGGGTCTCACTATGTAGTTCAGGCTAGCCTTGAACTCACTTTATAGCCCAGGGTGGCCTCGAACTTGCATCAATCCTCCTGCCTCAGCCTCCCACGCATTTTTCTTACTCTGAGAAAAGCTGAACATGTTTTCATAGGTTTGAAAGCCATTGTGCATCTTTAATGAATTAGCTTTACAAATTTTGTGCCAATTTTTTCTGAAGCATTTTTTGGGTCCTCGTTTTTAAAGTTTCTTATACCTTAGGGACATTACCTGTTTATCCATGATATATTTTGCAAATATTTTCTGTCCATGTGTCATCTGATTTTGACTTTAACTCTTGTTTCTTGTTATCCAAAAAAACTTTGTCAGAATAAACACAAGTAAGCTTTTGTTACCAGATATGAATATTTATGATAAAGATGTGGAATTTAAGTATGGAAAAAATAGGTCACTAGACAAAAGGCCTCAAAGTAGATATAGGTAACAGTATAAACATTTAATTGTATATATTGTATGAATTTAGTACACATTAGGGTTCTTCAGATCAGTGGGAAAAGGGTCTATTCAGAAGTTTGAGAGTCAGTTAACTTTAAAAATAAAATTAGATCCCTACTTTAAACCACCAAAGAAAGTTCATTAAATAAGCTTAATAGTGAATAGTTAATACATGAAACCATCAAAGAAGAAAAAGAAATATTGATAATTAGTCAGCACTTCTCAGCTTCTGCACTAATGAAATTTTGGCCTGGACGATCTCTGCTCTGGCTGCTCTGTATGTTGTGCATATTTAGCAGTATCCTGGCCTCTGTCCAGGAAACACAAGCTGCAGCCCTCCCAGTCGTGGCCATCAAATATGTCTCCGGACACTGCCAATTGTCTTCGGGGTGAAATCACCCCGAGCTCAGAATGCTGTGCTAGATCATCTCTGCTAGAAGCATAGCACCTACGCATGAAGTCACAAAGGAAAATTCTGAAAGTACGGGCTCTCTTCAATAAAAGAAAGTATTTAAGGAATTCAAGCAACAAATTGAAAAATATATAGTATAAATGACATTTCCCTCATATAAAAAGTAGCCAATAAGAAGAGATCTAAATAACCAGATAAATAAATAGAAAAAAAAATCACTGGAATATATGAATAATCAAAGATATTTAGACTAAAATGTGAATAAATTTATTCAGGATGTAGGCTTTACCTTACATGTTAGTAAACATGAAATTATTCAGCATGGTTATGGGAAGACAGATAATTGCATAAAGTGATAGAAGTATAAGTATAACATTGATGAAATACAATAGACTACGTATTATACCTTTCAAATAAATACATACTTTTGTCCATGCAGTTCTATTTCCAATACTTTTAGCCTATAGAAATATTTGAGCTGGCAGGAAGTTCGTGGCAGTACCACTTACAATTGTTGAACATTGGAAAAACCCACCTGTCTGGCAGTGAGAAACTACTCAGAATAGATTAAGGTACATCCATGTAAATGAGTACATTAGATTAGCATGATAATTGATAAGGTCTATATGCAGGAAGAAATGGACTATAATTATAAACTATAATTATAGTTAGAAACTAAACTAACAATTGTTTATATATGTATTTATGTGTCTTTAAGATTAAGAAGTACTATTTCTTTTTTCTATTTACATAAAAATTTTTGATAGAAATTACACATGGTGGTATATTCAAGATATATTGATTTTTTTCATTTTATATTTGTATTTTCTAATCTTTCAATGAACATGGATAGTTTGCATAAGATTTCTTAAGTGGAGAAATGAAACATTTAAGGACAAGGAATGTAACTCCGTAGTAAAGTGTTTCTCTAGCATTTGTGAGGCTCTAGTTTTAATCCTCAGTATAATAAAAAAATTTTAATCCTTTTTCTCAATTCCAAATTGTATAAAACTAGGGATTTTTTTTTACCCCCCCTGTACCGGGAATCGAACTCATGACGTCGCGCTTGCCAAGCAGGCGCTGTGCCACGGAGCTAAATCCCCAGCCCCAAACTAGGAAATTTTTTAAAGCAAAAAAAATGATAAAATTTTACAGTGGTGCTCATTAAAGTATGATTTACAACTGAGAAAGAAAGACAATGTTAATGTTCCGATGTAATTATCTTAAATGATAGGCTATTCTGCATGTGTAAGAGAGATAAAGGTATTTTTAGAAGTCTAACCTGATATTATCCTGGACAAAAAGTGGTTGTTATTAACCAAATACATATTATAAAAGAAAATGAGTATCTAAAATTAACATTTGAAAAAAGCTCAGCAGTTTCCCGTGTCTGATAGAAAGTTCTGTACTGATTCCTGGATGACTGCAGGATCCTAGCCTGAACTTTGACATTCCTGGGAATGGACTACAGGGAACTAACCTGAGATTTGGCTTATCACTTGTAGGTTGCTTCTGGTGAATGCAATGAAGACACTGAGGTTTACAACATAACCCTGTGTACCGGGGATGAGCTCACCCTGATGGGGCAGGCAGAAATACTGTACGCAAAGACTTTCAAGGAGAAGTCCCGCCTCAACACAATCTTCAAAAAGATCGGGAAACTCAATTCGATCGGCAAGCTGGGAAAAGGCAAGATGCCATGCCTCATCTGCATGAATCACAGGACCAACGAAAGCATCAGCCTCCCATTCCAGTGCAAGGGCAGATTCAGCACCCGGAGTCCCCTGGAGCTGCAGATGCAGGAGGGCGAGCACACCATCCGCAACATTGTGGAGAAAACCAGGCTCCCTGTGAACGTGACCGTGCCGAGCCCGCCGCCCAGAAACCCGTATGACCTCCACTTCATCCGAGAGGGGCACCGCTACAAGTTCGTGAACATCCAGACGAAGACAGTGGTGGTCTGCTGTGTGCTGCGCAACAACAAGATCCTCCCCATGCACTTCCCTTTGCACTTGACAGTCCCCAAGTTCAGCCTCCCGGAACACCTGGTCAAGGGAGAGGTGTGGCCTGAAACCCTGGTCCATCACTGGCTGGGTATCTGCCAGGAACAGTTTGACATCGATGAGTATTCCCGGGCTGTTCGTGATGTGAAAACGGACTGGAATGAGGACTGCAAAAGCCCCAAGAAGGGCCGGTGCTCTGGCCACAACCATGTGCCCAATTCCCTCAGCTACGCCCGCGACGAGCTCACCCAGTCCTTCCACAGGCTTTCTGTCTGTGTGTATGGCAACAATCTCCATGGTAACAGCGAGGTGAACCTCCACGGCTGCAGGGACCTAGGGGGAGAGTGGTCTCCTTTTCCTCATGACATCCTGCCCTATCAGGACTCCGGGGACAGTGGGAGCGACTACCTTTTCCCAGAAGCCGGGGAAGAGTCTGGAGGCGGCCCAGGGAGGGCCGAGCTTCCCTACGAGGAGCTGTGGCTGGAGGAAGGCAAGCCCAGCCGCCAGCCCCTCACACGCTCGCTGAGTGAGAAGAGCAGATGCGACCCGTTGAGAGGCTCTGTCCGCTCCAAATGTGCAACTTCTCCTCTTCCCATCCCTGGGACTCCGGGAGCCATGATGAAGTCTTCAGAAATTGCCCTACCTCCGCCTCCAGTGCCTCCCAAATCTGAAGCCGTAAGTCGCTTCCATGTTTGAATGGTGTCCCAACCTTTCTGTCTCTGCTTGTCATCTGCTCATCAGTTTTCCTGTAGACACCATACACACCTGTAATCCCAGCACTCAGAAGGCTGAGGCAGGAGGATAGCGGAGAGAGTTCAAGGCCAGCTGGGGCTATATAGTGAGTTCAAAGCTAGCCTGAACTACATAGTGAGACCCTGTCTCAAAAAAAAAAATGTTTTTTCTTATAGAAAAGAAAACTTTCTGACTGGAGATTATCAGAGTGAACAGGCTTATTTAGAGTGAAACACAGATGATAGTTAGATGATTCCTCCAGTCAGAAACAGATACAAATGGGGGCGGGGGGGCTAGCAGAGGGACCAGGAGGCATCACTTGTAACTCTGTCCTGTATCCCTGAGGAAGCACGGCAGGGCACTTAGGTAAATACACGCACACCCCAGAACCAGGTGCCGGGGGTTCTAAACATGACAGTCAGGGCTTGACAGGCTTCTATCAAAGTTGAGTGTAAAGCAGGCAGTACAGCGCCTGGGGTGCTAGAGCAGTGGTGGAGCGAGTGCTGGCCTCTGGCTTCCGTCCTGGCACTCAGAAAAGGTCAGTACAGACCTCTGTCTTTCCAGTGTTCTTTGATTGGCGGCCACACTGAACCTTTGCTGCTCATTTTGGATCATTACGTTTCATTATATCCGAAGGCAGAAAGCTTCAGAGGCACTAGATGTAATTCTGTTCATGTATTTGACAATTTCTATTACAGTAGTTTCCCTTTTCTATCTCTGCCAAAACCCTTTTTAAAAACTCTTACGTGAGTCACAATATATTAGAAGTAAAATCAAAGCCCACCTGACCAGAGCCCGGGTTGCAGCAGGGTGGTCTCCCAGCAGGTGGGTCTCCGGCCCACTCTCTTTTTCCAACCACTCATTTCAGGACACCTCTCAGGAACACTGGGGCTATGCAAAACATAGTTTCAAAACCTGGACTAGTGCTAGAAAAAAAAACGATCAGCAGGACCTGGATTCTCGGCCCAGTAGCTTTCAGGGGAAAAGTTAGAGATGAAAAGAGATGGCTATCAAGGTTAAAAGATGGTAAGCAGCCAGGAGCAATGGCACACACCTGAAATTCCAGCCACACAGGAGCCTGAAACAGGAAGATTGCAAGTCTGAGGCCATCCTGGGCAACTTAGCAAGACCCTGTCTCAAAAAACATTGGCTAACAGTTGAGCTCCTACCTGGCAAGCATGATGCACTAGGTTCAGTCCCTCATACAAAGAAAAAAAGAAAATGGAGGGAGGAAGGAAGAAAGAGAAAAAGGAAGAAAAGGAGAGAGAAAGAAAGAGCAATAATAAGAGAGATACAATGTGTGTGGGAATTCGAAGGACACAGAAACTTCTGGTTAGGAATGAACACAGAAGCCTTCGTAGAGATTAGCACATTCTAAATGAGCTTAGAGAATACAGGTGAATTAGAAGACCATTCCAGGTAAAGCAGAAGCAGAAGTGCAGAGGTTGGGGTCACATGAGCACCGCCGGAAACCACGGTCCTTCTGCTGGGCCAGCTGGTAGGACTGGAGAGGTGCGTGCAGGGCAGCAGGGGCGGAAAGGCCGGAGCCAGTGGGTGGACAGCTTACAATGTTGGGCCCCTGCTCAGCTGTCCTGGAAGAGCCCTCCTTGCATGGCTTTCCTGACAGAGGATCCCCCTCTGGCTTCCTGAGACAATAGTTCTGGGCTTTCCATGCTCCTTACAGGACCTTCCAGGGACCTTCCAGGCACAAGAGCAGAGATCCCTGTATTTGATAAGGTCTTGGAGTATTTGGGGAGTTTGTGGTGGAATCAAAGTCCCTGGTCCTTATGTTCATGGCAGAGGTTCTCCAAAGATGTTCCTAAAAGACAGGTAAAAAAATAAGCGGACAGCCCTCCTAGCACCATCGTGACATCAGAACTCATCTCACCTGATGTTGCTTGAAGGTTGAGGCTTTGATCTGTTTTGGGAACGTGACTGCATGTGCTTTTTGTGTTGGATTCTGCTCCTGCCTAGCCCGCTGTGGGTCTCGTGTGCTGACTGACCGATGTACTTACCCATAGTGGCCACACCGGGGTCACTTATGCAGCCACGCCTAGAGGTAGGAAGCCAGCATCACTTGTTTTTTCTGTGGCTGATGATAGATGAGTAAGAACATAAATATTAAGAAGTCTGATCTTGACCTTGATACTAAAAGAAAAACACTAGAGTTCAATTTGAAACTAAAAGCAAATCTCTTAGAAAAAGAAACGATTTTTGGCCTTCAGTCTAAGCTGTAATTTCTTATGATGTAAGCGAATCTTTTCAGAATATACCCAGTGTTTATAAAATGCTATAAACATAAAGATTTTTTATGAACACCTAAAATCATTTAATTTACTTTTAAAGAAAATTTTAGGCATTTTAAATGAAGCCGTTTCTCACTGTTTCTGTGAGCATGAAATGAAATTTCCATTTTGGGGATGCATGCGGGATCCAGAGAATGTCATAATTGTTAAATGTGGCTTTGGTTTGTAATTTTCACAAGAGAACTTTAATGGGGCACAAATTAAAGTCCTTCCACAGAACTCAATAAAAGTCCCACCTTGACGGTCAGAGTGGAGGGAGTGCTGTGAGAGGCAGGCCGCATGTCGGACAGCCAGCCCACCGGGTAGGAAAGGCGGTGGTGAGCTGTCTGGTGAAGCCAGCGGGACGTTATGGGAGGATGACCGCTCTCAGGAGGTCCTTACGAATCCGAGGTGCTGGCGCAATGGAAGCATCAAAGAGAAGGTGCCTTTCACAGTCGGGGGCACAAAGCTGGCGCAAGGGCAAAGGAACCGTCCCCTCACCCCGCCACATGGAGGCTGGAGGTGCAGCCGCCGCAGTGCGGTGCGCGTTGGCCTCTTCCTTTTCTTCGAATTCTTTCATGCTTTGCTTTCAGCTGCTTTGTCCTAGGCTGTGACATGTTCATGCCCTCTCTCCAGCAGACTTTGATGATCTTTGTTTCTTTCCATGAAAGTGAGAGTAAATCTCACCCCTCCGACAATGATCTGTGCTGTTTCTGGTATTATGCTGTGTCCCCGACAGCATCGAGATGGCACGGGAGCATGTTCCTGCCCCAACTTGGGGAGCCGGGGCTGTGGGGCCAACAGAGTCCTCAGCAACAGAGGGCTGGAGTCTGCCCACTTTGTTCCTATACCTTGCATTTAACGGGACTGTTTATAAAGGTTGCTTAATATACTTTTTTAAACAAAGCACTGTCACTCACCTCTTCGGAGTATGAGAACCTATTCCCTTCCTAGTGGGAATGTCTCAGGAGAAAGTAAACTGTTGCTGTTTCCAGAGGTGGAAAGGACACAGCTGCTGTTGGCAGTGGAGCCCAAACTGAGGAGCGTGCCCGGCTCACTGAGCCTGGCATTGTCACTTTAAGATTGTGCGAGGGGCCGCAGACCAGGATAACCCGACAGTCCCTCTTAAGAGGGTTATGTTTATCAATTCAGGTACTTATTCTAAATATGCGCTCCATTTCCTAACATTGTGGGTGTCTGTTCGCCATCTCAGTATCTGAGTATTGGCTGATATGTCTACAATATTTACCCAGATAACACCCTACAGCTGACAGTCTTCAAGAGCTGTCTCCCTTAGGATAATGTGATTTTAGAGTGCAATGAGGGAAACACTTTATATTGCATGAAATTCTGTAAATAAAGTGACTCCCAGATTGCTCTGGTTTATACAGTAAATTATAAGTGGTTATCGAAACTCTAGGTCACAATTCTTCTAAAGCTATTTGGGCAATGGTATCCTCCCTGGGGACCCAAACCTCAAGGAGCAGTGTCTTCCATCTGTCTCCAGTAGTAGGCAGAAGTGCTTTCAGCTTTGGTTGGTGGCGTGGCAGTCATCCCTGAGGTTGGTGACCCACTGTACTACAGTCCTGATGAATTTGCTAAGCTTTGAGTTAGACAAGGATACCGCCCCCCAGCTTATGAGAAACAGGAACCGAGCTGTACGTGAATCGGTAGCGTGTATTCACCATGATGAGGCTGAAGTCCATCCTAAATAAAGTCCCTTTAATGAAGCACAGTGCTTTTTGGTGTTTGAGAAAAATAAGACTTAAGACATAAATTTGATGCCAGATTCCCTGGGCCTAGTCCAGTAGAGGCTTGGAAACACTGATTCAGCTCTAAGCTGAGGTGTCTGAATCTGCCTCAGACAGGCTGAACAGTTGCTGGGAAAATGGAAGAAGATGGCAAGCATCCTGGGAATCTCCATCCCCTCTCAGTGGAACTGCATCGAGAGAGAAGAGGCCTGCCACACGACCAGATGATCTTCAGGGAGGCGTAGTAGCTTCGCCTCAGAGAGCCACACCTAGGTTAGACTCCTCACCCTACCACTTAGTGGCTTCATATCTTGAGCACAATATTTAGCTTCCCTGAGTCAGTTCCTGTGGGGATAATAATTCTTCACTGCATTATTGTATTATACAAAGTACTTGGCACTTTTCCCTGCCCCTTGGTAAGCATTCAAAATAAAGAGTAGCAGTAATTTAATATAAGATGGGCTCCAACGTAGAGCCAGAGAGTAATTTTTAGAGGGTTTTTTTTCCCACACTGCTTCCTTGACTAAGGGATGGAGGGAGGAAGTCATATGTCCTCTGGGAGTCAGGAGGCTTGTGGGAGGAGGACGTGTCCATCTCCACAGCAGATCAGCCAAGGCAGTGCTGGCCCTGGACAGGGGCCACGAGTCCTCACATCCCCACACGTGCCACACCATGTGTGATCCTTTCGTGTTGGCTAGATTTTACAAAAACGTAACTTCTAAAAATACTTTATCAAATTTTTCTTCAATCAGATTTTACTGGTATATTTTAGATATACATAATGATCACATTCACCATAGAAATTTTGTGCCTGTACACGATACAACTTGATTCTTTTTTTTCCAATTCCCCTGCCCTCCCTTTAACCCCTCCTTGTCTCCCCATTTACCAAAGCTCAAAAACATAA